AAAAGGTCCACAATGAGCGTATTCATGACGCTAAACGACCCCGTAATCGTGAGCCCGATCACGCCCTGTAGCACCAAAGGTGCCGCGACGCCGCCGACCTCGTAATGCAGCACCCACCCGTAAGACGTCAGCGCCGCGAGCCCGACGGCGACGGCCGGGTAAACGGGCTGCAGGCGGGCCCTTTCGATGGGGAATTTCAGGAGGTCGTCGCCCCGGCGGCGGTCGATTGCGAAGCCGATTTGGGAGGCGATGCGGCGGTAGTTCCAGTCGAGGACGTAGCCCTGGCCGAGGCTGGCGACGACGCAGCCCGCGCCGTAGGGGAGGTAGCAGAGGCCGAGCTCGAGGTCGTTGAAGTGGTAGATTTCGCGGAAGAGGGTGCCGAGAGTGGCAGCTACGCAGATGAAGGCTACGTAGAGGAGGCTGTTGTAGGCGAGGACGAGGGCCATTTCTTTTTCGAAAATGATTTTGACGGAGCGGATTGGGTTCGGGAAGCGGAGCTTCCGGTGAGGGTGTGCTGGTATGGATTCGGTCTGAGAAAGAGCGCCGGTGTCCTGGTGTCTACGGTTACGGCGGCGGCGGCGGATGAGGTCGATTAGGGGCCGGTTCCACGACTGAGCCGGGATAGAGCCGTTGCCCACGACACCACGACAGGTCTCTGGGACGAAGAGGGCGTAAGGGACAAGCCAGAGGCTGATGAGCACGACGCAAAACCAAAAGATGGACGCCCAGCCGAAATACTGCGTCAAGACGCCCCCCAAGACGGGACCGATGGTGGGGCCGACGTTGATGCCCGCGCCGACGATGCCCATATACTTGCCCCGCTCCGAGCTGACCGAGATATCAGCCACCATGGCGAACCCCAGCGCAATGGCGCCGCTGCTCCCGCCGCTCTGCAGCATGCGGAGGACGAGGAGGGCGGCGTAGTCGCGCTGCAGGGCGAGTCCGACACAGGCGACGAGGTAGATGCTGAAAGCGACGAGAAAGGCTGGGCGGCGGCCGGCCATGTCGCCGAAATCGCCAAAGAGCGTCGGGGAGATGGCCTGGAGGATCATGTAGGAGGTGACGGTGAGGTTGACGAGGGCGACAGAGACGTGGAGGTCGTCTGCGATGGGGGCCAGGACCGGGTAGTAGATGTTTGCGGACATGGGCGGGACGAAGCAGGCGACGGAGGCCATGAAGGCTACCCAGCGCTTTGTGGAGGGAGAGAAGACGCTATAGGCTGGGCCGCTGGGCTGGCGGGTGAGGTTTTCGGGGTCGTCTTGATCGTGGACCGGGTTGGGGTCTTCGGTCGAGGAGACTTCATTATGTGATTTCTCGTTGGCGAGTTCTGGGTCGCTTGGTGACGAGGCCTGGATGATGGACGGACTCGGAGATGTTGTGTCTAGGCCTGTTTGATTCCTTTCCAAGTCCATTTGGCCTATGTGGTTCAACTCATCTTGTCCCATACTTATCAAGACGGCATCTCCGTATCAAGCAAAGATACAGAGAGATGACAAGGCGGGAGAAGAACGGAGATTGAAGCTTGGCTGCCGTTGCCGTCTCCAGACACTTACTTGACAGTGCTTCACGATACTCTTTTGTGATATAGCAAAGACTATAAATTGAAGTAATATTAAACCGGAGAAGATGAGCAAGTAAACTTCACAAAAATGGATGATCTTGCTTGCCTATGTAGATTTTGCAAGTAGTCCATATCCGTAAGCGGGACCATCTTGCCGCCCTGCCGCATACCTACCCAGCTTTACTACGTACAACAATGATATTATTTCCGCTACCAGATCGGCCTCCACCACTCGGCCTCTGACCGACCGCGATTAACATACAGCTTTTATGATTCGCCCGGACCGGGCCATACCTCCACAAAAGCCCGCCCATTTTGGGCAGCTGGTGCCGTCCAGCATTGACCGAGGCGGCTTCTGGGACGTGTCTATCGGTGCGGTATCGGGCGAGATGATCGCAGCCAAAAAAGAATCCGTTGGTGTTCCTTGACAAATGGCACTAAAAGATTCATCATTGCGCCTTTAGTTAGGTGGTGGAGGGCAATAGCTAGAGACGCTTGACTCTAGCATGAATTGGGTTCACTCCGAGATCGGACAGCCTCACTTCAAATGTCCAGCCCTTTTCTAGAATCCCGTTCTCGAATGTGGTCCTTTTTTCAACGAGGATGTCAAAAGTGGTTGATGGACGTCACAATTGGCGTCTTTTGCAAGCTTCGGTCTCGTTGTTGTGGAGGGGTTGGCTCGTGCGCCCTGCCGACGCCCTTGCCGACCTGCCGATGCAGCCCCGAACTCTGACTGTTAGTCCGCTTAGCTAATCCGTACAAAAAACAGCCACACCAGCCCCAAGTCCGAGGGGATAAATGTGGCTAGTGAGACCTGAGAACCCAAGCCACGTCATTGGAGAACAGCTTTCCACATCTCCAGCTGGCAGCGAGGATGTGACCACGGGGTTGAACGACGTGATATTACGGATTCCGGTGCTCCTCAACACCACGTAATTACTTCCAGATTGAAACGTTCCCTTCTCCCAGCCGCACGGCAAAGTGCGATAGGTCTCCCAAAATGGACATTACACCAGCATTCAACGACCTCCTGCGGAAGCGCAATGCGCCCACCGTCACCGAAAAGAAGCTCAGTCTCGAAGCAATTGACGGCTTCCTCAAGGAGGCTTACAGAATAGTCAGTCTCTACCAAACCACCTCTCTGTTTCTGAGAACTGTATGCCTCTGACACCTTGACATCCAGAACTCCCACATTACAAACCTCCACAACGAACTCAAAGATGTCCGACAAGCCTACCTTTCAACAGCGCAACCGCGCAAAACACACATCCACGCCGCCGCCGCCACCCAACAACGTCACCTAACAGACCGCGACCGCGAAGAAGTGGATGCAAACGCAAAGCAAATGCTCCGCGAGCTCAACGCGAGCATCACAGCCCTCAACGAAGCAGAGCTCCTCCGCCGCGAAACCGAAACGGCCGTCATCCGCAAAAAGTACGCCAGCAGGCTCGGTGCCCTCGGCGCCTGGGCTGCGGCGAGTGACAATGACAGCGGCAGCAGCAAGGGCAAGACGGCGGAGCACGCGGCGGCCGAGGCCCGCGCCAGGACGATTGAGCAGCACCGCGACGAGGTGATTCAGAGTCTGAGGTTGGGACTGCAGCGGTGCGGGAGGACGCAGCAGGATATGATGGAGGTGAGGCTCACGAGGGAGATGGAGAAGAATAGGAGTGTTTTGGCGAAGGCGGGCGGCGGCGGGGCGATGCCTGAGTTGGGCGGGTTTTATGAGTCCATGGCGAAGACTGCGGCGACCAGCAAGGGGGCGACGGGCAAGGCTGGTTTGCCGCCCGGGGATGAGGGTGCGTCGTCGTCGTATGACCCGCGAGAGGGTCTCACGGATGAGCAGATTCAGATGTTTGAGAAAGGAAACCAGGATATGCTTCAGCATTACAACAGCACGCTGGACAAAGTCAGGTATGTTTTCGATGGCTCGGCATTTTTTCACTACAAGTCGCCCAGAGGTTCCTTCGGAATACATCGCTAACCAATTGGCGCCTATGAATAGGACGGCGGAGAAATCGCTACTCGAGATTGCAGAGCTGCTGACGTTACTGGTGGGCAACTTGGCGACGCAGTCTGCGCATATTGAGCAACTCGTGGCGGACTCTGAAAACATTACGGCGGACGTGGGCGGTGGTAACAAGCAGCTGAAGAAGGCGACGCAGCGACCGAGCGCGGCGAGGTATACCTTTTTCGCGTCGGCGGGGTTGTGCACGTTTTTGATTCTTTGGGACTTGATTATCTAGTTGTGAGGCCGGAAGCATTGGGTTGAATAGAAGCTTGGCTGGGAGTTTGCCCAGTTTGGCGATACAATACCATGAGAACCATTGTCTTGGCTGTACTACGCACCACATTTCGTGGTCTGCCAGATTTCACCTCTGATTTTCAGTCTTGTAGAGTTGTGCACTTTTGACTTATTGAGGTAGCATTTCGAGTAGGTATTCCATGGCTTGAATCACAGGCTGATATTGCCATGGTGGGAGGTTGGGCTGACAGACATGTGAAAGTTTATAGATAGCAGCGTCACATGCCGGGTCGTCAAAAAGCCTGGACCAAGTGCAGGTGACCTTTTAGTTGCAAGCCATGTAAATCCAGCGAACGAGAAAATGAGAGGACTGATGCCTTGGTCTTCGGGCGCTAGGAGCATTTGATAATCTGATCTGCCTTGCCTACATTATCTAGCACCTTACGCAAGCAAACTACAGGTTCGCTTTGTCACAGTGAAGAAGCGTTGTCGCGGTGTGTTCTCCGGGACGGCTTGTACGGAGCTGGGATGCCGGGGGAGCTTCGGCGAGTGTCTGGGCAAGCTTGCGGCAGGCGAGCTTCTGATTGGCGCTGCTAACGACATTGAACATGCGAAACGGTTCGGTACCTGCGGTGTTTTGGAGGAGGGAAGCGTTGCAATACCGAGGAGTGGTCTCATCTTTGCGGTTATACTTGGAGTTGCCGAGCTCTAAATTTGTGCTGTCCATAAAACCCTCGTAGCGTAGGTAGGTATTGATTCCAAGGCAAGTCGTGAGTCTCCAAATAGGTGGTGTAAGATAAAGGAAGATGAATGTGCGTCTGTCAACCTGCAGTCCGATACAGACAAGATGGGATGATCTCGTTACTTTAGTCTGAAGTGGCACGGCAATGCACTCCATCCGATATCAACGGTTCAGAAGGAATCCAAGAAGATAAACCGGGATGAACTTCAATCGATACGGAGTACACTACCAGACTAAGCAAACGTCGAGTCGTGATGACTATCTGGCAGCAAATGGGAGAGTTTGGAGAGTCATGGGGCTGAGCCCGAGACCTCGGCCCGCCCTCCACGGGTGACCTCACAAGCGCAATTGGGAAAGGTTGGGGCAAATGGGGAAGCAGCGGGGAGCCGACAGCTAGAGGATAAAGAGAAGGCGCGCTCCTTTCCCCCGCCGATGCACAAGACACTGAAAGGAAGGTACTGCCACTGCTGCTGCTGCCAAACCTGGAAAACAACGAAACGAAATCCCCGACCATTGCCCGACACTTCGCCGATTTCTTCACTTTCGGTATCTTTCTGCATCACCGTAAACTTGAATTTACTACGATACAACCTGGCCTCAGCATCCCGGGTGACCAGCAAAAAGACAGAATCAATCTATTTTCGCAGACAAATCCGCCTATCCGCACCCGATTCGAGCAAGGCGTTACGAAATACCTTCCTCGACCTGACTATCCTGCCCGCACCTGGTGGATCCCATTTGATACAACTTTGCCCCAAAACCCAACCTTGGACGTGTCACAGTGGTACTTTTTCTCCGTCACCAGGTTCCATTCAAACTCGATTGCTTGCTGTTTCTCGAGTTTCTTCTGCCACCTGTTCAAGCCTCAGACAGCCAGAATTTCCGAACCACAAACCAAACACGCCCTCCGATCGTCCGAGCCAAAACATCACTATCTCAGCCCTTTCATCCAGGATTCCACTACTCCGTACCCAACCCCCGTATCCAAGCCGTTGCTCTGCCGTACAGTGTACCCTGCGCCCTGCATCTGTACATACCTACCTAGTGTCTGTATTCTGCAGCCCGCCCGTCCGCTGCAACCACATCAACCTTCTTGTAAGTTTCTGCAACTCCCGGAGCGCCGCGCTGTGAGGACGAGACACTCGGCCAGACCCAAGCGTCGCCGTACGGAGTACAGTACCTTAGTTAACACGTCCAGGTCTTTCTGGGATTGCTTAGCTCCCGCACCAACCAAGTCCCCCGTCTTTCATCCCCCAGGTAAGCAGTTGCAGCCCGTTTGTCCCTCACCTCAGCAACATGTCATCTTGCGGCTTGCCCTGTTCCTTGACGTCCTAGACGTTTCCCGCCTTAGCTGGAAGTCCCCCCGTCTATGGAGGCGCATGTCCGCTTCCCCCCTTCCCCTTCCCCGTCCAACCTCGAGGCGTCGGGTGACACGGTGACCCCTCCGGGAGCCCGGGCAGAAGGGGCAGCTCTCACCCCAAGGTCCCATGGTCCATGGAAGGTCCCAAAACACCCCGACCACACCGGTGACCAAGCTCCCATTCCCACTGCCCACCTGGGTCAGGTACGGAGTACTTGGGTCACCTCAGAGGCTCAGACGCCTGGACAAACGGTTGGCGCCTGTAATCGCAAAGCTTCCCATTCGCCCGTCTAAATCGTACCACTATTTGATGCCATAATAATAACCACCCTCAGACAGACCCTTTCCTCCCCCCCCGCCTCTGACTCGTTCCCCCTTCTCACGAAAGCTCCGACGCTGAAAATGCCCGGTGATTCCTCCTCTTCTTCATCAGCTTCGGCCTCTTCCTCTTCTTCCTCTTCTCCCCAGAACAACTCTACTCTTTCGAGAATACGCAACATCGCATCACACATCATGGCGCCTGTTTCAACCACGAACTTCCCCGCCAGCACGGTGCCGCAAGCTCCTGAGGATCCCCTCTTTGGCTTGATGGCCGCCTACAGGGCAGACCAGAGCAAGGACAAGGTCGATTTGGTGGGGTGAACCCTTGATTCATCAAGCAGCAGCAGCAGCTAGCTGTCTTGATGGTGTTCTGAGCTCTTTTGCTAACCATCCCAGGGAATTGGAGCTTACCGCGATGACAATGCGAAGCCTTGGGTTCTCCCCGTAGTCAAGAAGGTGCGTCATCATTCCCTTCTTTTGATTTCCCCCCTTCACCTTGTTGTGTGAATGTCCTCCGGAGACGGACCCTGCTTGCGACCCCTCCGGCTCCAGCAAGGCAAAGCCCGGCTGCGTCACGCATCGGCGGCACAACAGCTGATGTGCAGCATCGTCCTATTTTTGATGAGCTTTCCCCTCATCGCATCCCACTTCCTCCACTTTTGGCCTGCCCCTTACAAGTTACCCACCCCCGCTAACCCCGCCATGATGCAACTTTACAGGCCGACGAGATCCTCCGCAACGATCCCGAACTCAACCACGAATATGCTCCCATCGCCGGTATTCCCCAGTTCACCGGCAAGGCGAACGAGCTAATGCTCGGCGCCGACTCGCCCGCCATCCGCGAGAAGCGCACCTCCTCCGTCCAGACGATTTCCGGCACCGGTGCCGTGCATCTCGGCGCACTCTTCCTTGCAAAGTTCTACAAGGGCAACCGCACAGTCTACATCTCCAACCCGACATGGGCCAACCACAACCAGATCTTTGGCAATGTCGGTCTGCCCATCGCCCAATACCCCTACTTCTCCAAGGAGACAAAGGGCCTCGACTTTGAGGGCCTCAAGTCTACCCTGTCCTCCGCTCCCGAGCGTTCCATCATCCTTCTCCACGCCTGCGCTCACAACCCCACCGGCGTTGACCCGACGCAAGAGCAGTGGAAGGAGATTGCTGCTCTGATGCGCCAGAAGAACCACTTCCCCTTCTTCGACTGCGCCTACCAGGGCTTCGCCTCCGGCAACCTCGCCCAGGATGCCTGGGCTGTGCGCTACTTCATCGAGCAGGGCTTCGAGCTCCTCATCGCCCAGAGTTTCGCAAAGAACTTTGGACTCTACGGCGAGCGCGCCGGATGCTTCCACTTCGTCACCGCCCCGGCCTCCGACGCCGCCGAGACCACAAAACGCATCGCTTCCCAGCTCGCCATCCTCCAGCGTTCCGAGATCTCAAACCCTCCATTGTACGGCGCCCGCGTCGCAGCCACCGTGCTCAACGACCCCGCGCTCTTCGCTGAGTGGGAGGACAACCTGCGCACCATGTCCGGCCGCATCATCGAGATGCGCAAGGTCCTGCGCGCCAAGCTCGAGGAGCTCGGTACCCCCGGCACCTGGAACCACATCACCGACCAGATTGGCATGTTCAGCTTCACCGGCCTGTCAGAGACGCAGGTACTGAAGCTGCGCGAGGACGCCCACGTGTACATGACCAAGAACGGCCGCATCAGCATGGCTGGTCTCAACACAAGGAATGTCGAGTACTTTGCCAAGGCGGTTGACAAGGTTGTTCGTGAGACGAAATGAGATTGAGGTTTCTTATGACGTTTTGTATGAATGTAAATGGGTATACACGGGGACCGGATATGTCCCCCCGCAACGGTGTGGCCAGACAGCTGGCAGGAAGTGGAAAGAGGGAAAGAAAAAATCCTTAGATTTCCTAGCTCTGGAGTAATGACCATCACCTCTTGTTCATGATGCATATTGCTAGACTCTATTGCTTACTTGATGAACTGTGTGATCTGCGAGACTACTGTCAATGTCTACACTAACCTATCTGCTACTACAATTGAAAACTGGTCAGTATGTTGAGGGCTATCAACGTCAGGCTGAGTACCGGTGCCTGTCAATCGGAACTAAGTCATCCGGAATGTCCATGGCTTCCCTGTCTTAAATCTATTCAAGACCAACTTGGGGATGAAGGGAGTATCAGAAGGTAAGGTGAGACGAGGTGAAGTAGAGCTCTTTTCCTCTCTTACCCTGCTCCTTCCTCGTCTTCTCTGCTTGTCCTTTCATCCACCTCATCTCTCATTTTCTTTTATCTATGTATCTCATTTTACATCGTCTATCTCTCATGATCCGTTATCTCTTGTTTCTTGTTTTAGATCATCCCCATCCCTAATCTGATTTTACCTCTGTTTTGTATCCCCATCATTGAACTTCCGTCATGTCTGTCATTTGTATCCGATCACCCCTGTTTCTGAATTTCCATCGTTCATGGGACTGGGTTTCCATCATGTCTATGAATTTTCATTATCTATATCACTGAGTTATGTTTTCGTCATCTCCTTCCTTCACTCTATCGTTCATGCTACTGAAATTCCATCATCTCTGAGAATAACGACCCTCTCCATCGCTCTGACTCATCTAGGAGGTTTTTTTTTTTTTTTTTTGGAGATGTTGATAAAGCACGGCGCTACAGACTCCGACTCGAGTGGTAGTAGCGATGACCCTGACCTTGGCCCTGAGCACCCCCGCCAGAAGTCTTGCCGTGGTAAGGAGGATGACGATGATAGTGGAAATGGTGGCGAGGATGGTGAGGCTAACAAGACCGGTAAAACTAGTAGAGAAGATGGTGAGGGTAGTGAGGGCGGAGATGAGATAGATGTCGATGAGCCAATTGGCAACGGTGACGATGCCGGTAAACAGGACAAGCCTGCCCTGTCATTCATTCTCAATCATCTTTGTCATTCATTTCCATCCTCTCCTTCTCTCCCTTCTAACCCTTCTTCCTCTCTTTACCTTTTCTATCTCTCTTTACCTTTTCTATCTCTCTTTCCCTTTTCTATCTCTCTTTCCCGTTTCTATCTCTCTTTCCCTTTTCTATCTCTCTTTTATCTTCCCCCCTCCCCTCGTCGTAAGCACTCCCGAATACGAGAAGGCATGCCAGTACTAGCCATTCCCTAGTCTTAACCTACAACGGTGCCCAAAGGTTCATTTAATCTGCACCGGGACTCAGTATTCAAAGGCCGCCATCGACATAAGTAGGTCGGAGATGACTTGATCAGCAAGACATGGGCGGGCGCCGCGCTGCTGTTGAGCCCTGTCTCGATCGAAGCTCTCGTCGCAGCTATTGTCGATTGTGAAGACGGGTTCGTGGAGTATCGTTTTATAGGCGGCAGTAATCGAGATTCTCTGGACCAGCTAGCGCTCGATATTTCGAAGGTCACCATGTTAGTGGTTTGAGTTTGACATCTTTAACAAGAGGCATCGGGCGCCAGTATTGCTGATGAGTGGATTGTCTCAATAGAGCATTCCGTCGCAGCCATTGTGGTTTTGAAGACGAGGTCGGTGGAATGCTGCTTTATAAGTGCTTCCAAGAGGCCACAGCACTGAGGTACAGGGTTTGCTTCGACATGCTTTGAGGACGAGGTATTGTGATTCCGTGTTGTGAAGAACGGTGTTTGTGAGAGGTTGCCTTGTGGTCCTTGATCATAGTGTTTGTCATTGTCATCGTCGTCGCCGTCGTTGTGAGGGTGCTCATAACCTCTTAGGAATTCCCCTCGCCACCAAAGCAGGTTGAAGATTTCGGTATGGACGCCTTTGCAAACAAGCTTGCTATTTCCAGCAATCAAGACTACACCAAGCCCGCTGGTACCAAGCTGTTGAGTTGTCAGCCCATGCTCCCTCCCGCAATTCTCGTCGAATATCGAAATCGTTTGTATATGGTGGTCGAGTCGGGAGTATTCGGGTTGACGTAAAGAGTTCTGAATCGGACTAGATCATCTTCCTCTTCTTTCCCCACTTTGAAGCTTTCACATAGCCAAGCCAGATAGCGAAGCAACAAGAAGAAACAACGAAGACCAAAATCCTTCCGGAATTCAAGAGAGTAAAAAGGGCAAAAGCTAGGAGAGGGACGAAATTCAGGGACGACGTCCCGATTATCTAGTCCTAATCCCTCGTGGCAATCGGCCCTTCTTTCGGGACTTTACGGTTAACGGGCGCACCCCACCATCCTTATCCCCCCCGGTCTCCTACGATGCCGGTAGAGGGATTGGGGGGAGGAGCAGGGTGTGGTCTTTCGTTTTCCCGCCTCGCCCTGTTGCTATGAGCCTTTTGTGGGAGTATTTGCGTCCTCTTTTGTGGGGGAGATGGAGTCTGTCAAGGACTTTGGTTTGTTCTTTATTTGGTACGGGCGGAGGACTTATTTTCCGCGGGGGCTCTATCTTTCACGCTGTAACTGATTCGTCTCCTTCACTCGGGCTTGAACTAACAGCTGTTGCTGGAGTCCTGGAATATTGAGTTCGTTCAAGATGGACTGTGGTTGACGGCAGCCAAGTCTGCTCCAATGAGATGCCGTTGACAGTTCCCCGCAAAGCCTCACCCTCCCTCCGGGTCAAGATCAACGTCGTGGCTCGTGGGAAACTCCTGGTGCATTGAGGAATTGGAGAAGCGGCTGGCACCCTGGCACACCCTCTAAATGGTCTTTGATATTTACCCGGCTAGGTCGACCATGGAATCTTGCATCCTCGCGTTCCAATAGCTTCGACACTCCGATTCGCCGCTGACACGCGGGTTCCGTCTCCAAGTCCGAGGAGGCCAGTCGGTACTCGGTACGGATTAGAATGGTACTGTGATATGTAGAGTGGGGGGTATTGCATGACTTCTAAGTTGTCAACCGCAACGTTGGGATGAACATGAACAATGGGGTCGGACCCGATGCAATGACAGGTGAGGACAGTATGTGGTGGGCAACATCCCGAATACACAAGGCGTAGGAACTTCGCCAATCGCATTGAAAGAAATGGATACACAGACAGACGCTTGCCCGGCCGGCGGGAGAGGTAAGCACGACTTCCAACCCCAAGAACATGTGGTGACACGACAGGTCTATTCCTCTTATGCAATTAGGTTCTTTTCGTCCGCATCCCACACAGCTCGCCTTGAATAGACGAGCTGTTAGTCGAGCTGTGCCGCATTACTGCGCTGAAAAGCCTCTCGGCATCAGTCCTCATGAGCACCTGGAGTGTGGTTGGAGTAAACCGACCTTCATCGGGACGGTTGAACTGCGCAATTAAAGCATTGGATACACCATGTTTCGACGGAAGCCTCTCACTCCAAAGACACATACTTCTAGGAAGGTCTTCATGGTTCATAGCATCCGTAGACTTACCGTTGTAGATTCTAAGAGATTGAAGTGCCTAGACTCTCCACTCCTCGGACTTCCGTCATGACCTCGGCACAGGATACGAAATCTCGCTTCTGGCCATCCCGAATAACCGAATAAGGTACGGTAACGGCGCCAACCTCCCCTCCACCCCCATCCTCTGATAAAGTCACCGCCAAGCCAAGCACCTCGAGAAAACAAACCAGATGCTGATGCTGGTCCTGTTCGTTCGTTCGTTTTGCGTAAGCAACAGGCGGGAAACTAACCAATAAAACACCTTCTTGGCTCCTAGTCTTTCCCCAAACCATCCGAGTTGTTCTAGCGGAGATGCGGAGTTGAACTCCCACAATCCCTCCAAACACACCATGCCCATAAATTAAGCAGCGAACCATCTGACCAAAGCCCATGGGGAAAAGCAAAGGCCATGTGGAGAAGTGAAAGCCTTCCCCGCATATCATTGAGTGGTCGTTGCTCCATTGTTTGAGATGAATGTGGTTTCCTCACTGGATGGATAAATGCAAATAGCATTCTCAATTCAACCCCAACCCCGACCTCCTGGGCACTTCTTGGCGAGAACCATGGCCCCCGGCTCTTTGTGAGCGTGTCCCCGATGCAACAGTCATCTCATTCGGACCTTCTGCCACCTGGGATCCTGGCCGACGCCGCTTCCCTCTCCCGCTGTCCCGCCTTAGCCCTTCCTCTGGTTCTCCCTCTGCCGGAATCTGCCCATGTGTTGATAGGTTCGGGCGTATGCAAACATGGGGTAACTCCTTCACGGCAGTGCGTATGTATATAAAATACCCGGGTGGACCTCGCCGGAAGTTGGAGATGAGTGAGAGTCTACCACTAGAGATGCGTGTTGGAGTCGCGCGCCCTTGAATACATACACACCCTTGAACGCCCAGGGACAAGGACTCGGTAACATATACTTCCGTCTACTGGATAGAGAACTACTTATTCCTTATCCCATCCTCATCGACTGTCACCGTTTAGACCTTTTGACGCGTCGCTGAGACTCTCTTAACCGATCTACCGTCTTCTTCCGCGAGCCGCAGTTCATTCCTCACAATGGTCCAGATCAAGCGTGCCCAGGAGACCGGGGCGGCGGACCCCATCCTGACCCGCATCTCGGAGGAAGACAAGGTGCCATGGTACCAGAAGCCGAACCTGCGATACCTCTACCTGATGCTCTTCCCGACGTGCATGGGTATCGAGTTGACGTCCGGTTTCGATTCGCAAATGATCAATGCGTTGCAGATTGTGCCATCATGGAAAGAGTGTAAGTTGGTCCAGTGAAGACGTTTGGGAACTCAGATTGACAAAATCCGATAGACTTTGGGGATCCGCAGGGTAGTCTGAAGGGCATCATCGCCGCTGCGTATTCCCTCGGGGCAATTCTGTCTCTTCCCTTTATCCCCATCGTGAACGACAGGTTTGGACGAAGATGGTCCATCTTTGGAGGCAGCTTGGTCATGGTTGTTGGAGCCCTCATCCAGGGTTTCTCTCAGCATGGTACGTTTGGCCGTCTCATCGCCCGCACTGGTCTCGAACACAAACTAACTTTGAGAAGTTGGCATGTACATCGTTGCCCGCATGATCCTCGGCTTCGGTATCCCGACCTGTATCGTCTCCGGCTCTTCTCTCATTGGTGAATTGAGTTATCCCAAGGAACGTCCGGTTCTGACGTCTCTGTAAGCATTCGAGTTTCTGTGGGACGAAGTGAGTAGACTGATGGAATTGTAGCTTCAACGTCGCGTACTTCGTTGGTCAAATCGTGGCCGCTGGCATCTGCTTCGGCACCAACAACATCGCAAGCAACTGGGCGTGGAGAATCCCCTCCCTCCTTCAGATTTGCCCTTCTCTCTTGCAGATCACCTTTGTCTTGTAAGTGGTCTCCCACAGGAACACACAATCGCATGCTTCTTCAACAGGTCTGACTTATCATGCTTCCAGCTTCCTTCCAGAGAGTCCCCGATGGCTCATCACCAGAGACCGAAGCGAAGAAGCCCACGACATCCTCATCAAGTACCACGCCGAGGGAGACCGCAACTCCGAGTTCGTTAAGGCCGAGATGGCGCAGATGAAGACCGTCATCACCCTCGAGATGGAAGCTTCCAAGCAGTCGTGGATGGACCTCCTCAACACGGCGGGTATGCGCCGCCGTGCTCTCATCTCTTCCATGCTTGGTCTCTTTACCCAATGGTCCGGCAACACGCTCATCTCGTAAGTGTTTAAATGCCGTTCATGAATATTCACCCGAGCAATGGCTAATATGGGGGGAAATAGATATTACTTGGGTGACCTGCTCCAGATGATCGGCTTGACCGACTCCACCATCAAGCAGAAGATCAACCTCGGCATCGCCGGCTGGTCTCTCGTCTGCGGCTTCACCGTAGCCATGCTCGTGCGAACCTTCCGCCGTCGCGTCATGTACCTAGCTTGCACAATCTCACTGGTATGTCTCTTTCAACACCTCATCCCGATCTCTCGCCCGCTAACAATCCCCTCAGCTCCTCTGCTATATCAGCTGGACGATCTCAATGGAACGTGCCGTCCACGCCCTCGACAACAAGTACAAGAACCAGTCCGCCTCCGTAGCGACAATCTTCTTCATTTTCATGTACTCGCCCTGCTACAATATCGGCTACAACGCCCTAACGTACACTTACCTCGTCGAGCTGTGGCCCTACGCCCTGAGATCGCGCGGCATCTCGCTCTTCCAGCTCTTTGGAAGATTGGCTGGCTTCTTCACGACCTTTGTTAATCCCATTGGCATCAAGGACGCATCGTGGCGGTATCTCATCAGCTACTGTGTCTGGCTTGCCTTTGAGGTTGTGTTTGTGTACTTTATGTTCCCCGAGACTGCGGGACGTACGCTTGAGGAGTTGGCTTTCTGTAAGTTTCTCGATGACCCCGCTGGGTGCATAATCTTGTTGCAGAGATGGCTGACAAGTGTGCTTTACCAGTGTTTGAGGACAAGGCTCTTGCCGATCAGGCTGTTGGTGCTGTCGAGAAGGTTATCCATCACGATGACATGGATACTATTGGTGAGGTCAAGAGCGGAGGCGGTAACACTGAAGTCGTTGAGAATGTTGGTGCCAAATCGAGAGTTTGATCATTGGACGCCTGGTCTAGCGGGACGGCGTGAAGGAAGTTCAAGTAGCGTCAAATTGAACAGTTACTTAGAGTACCACAAAAGACAAAAGAGTCAACATCATCTATCTTATCCTCCAATTTCATACTTCTAACTGCCAACCAATGAGGCATTGGTGTAACACTCTACAGCTTCGTCAGTCTATCTACACTGGAACAGCGTTAAGATGTCACCCCCGCTCAGGCATCATCCGCAGCCTGCTTCATCAACTGACTTGGGGGTGTAGAGAATGAAGATATGACCGGCTGGGTTGCATCGCAGCTGATGGCCACGTAAACGTACGTATCAGAGGCTCTTCCACTGCGGGGCTCTCCTTCTGTGTGGCCATGTTGATTCTGCAGCGGCAGAGTCGGTGGTGTTTGCAAGATCAGGCTGCAGATGACAGCCAAATGGTCAACCCTACCCCTCAGTAATTTCGCATCACGTCCTCCCTCTTCAACTTTCTCTGTGGAGAAAATTGCGTTGCAAGGTCGACAGCGATCAAACCAAGCATCATGCCCGTCCGACAAAAGTCATGGGGCCTTCCTGTAAGGCCCCTGGATCGAACAGCAACGACAAACCCCGACGAGAACGAGCTCGAACAGCAAAGTACCGAAGCTGCTGTCAAATACTGGTTATCGGAGGCAGAGAAGCTCCAGCCAGAGCAGCGCCTCCTTTTTGAGCGAGGCGCGGAAGCGGACAGCTACGAAGACTATGTGTCGGGCTTGACCCGCGCGGTCCAGAATACCACCAACTCGAGCAAAGTGTCCAGGCTCTCGAGGAAGATGAAGCCCGTTTACGCACTGGTCAAGTCAGTCGCGCCGCTGGTAGCCTCCGCGGACCAGGCCAGCCCATTCCCGCCATCTCTGGTCATCGGAGGCATCACTTGCATTCTGTCGGCCAGCAACCGCGTGGACGACTACCAAAGCAAACTCATTGAGAAGATGGAGGGAATGGTCGACGAGATTGATTCTATCAATCAATATCGGAGAGAAGGGATTTTTCAGGATGATCCTGGAATCAAGGCATGCGAACTGAACCTTGCCACTGATATTTTTCGATTCTGCGTGAGAGTGGCACCCATTTTCTACGATGAGAAGGGGAAGGAAAGAAATGGTCTTTCCGTGGCTGTGAAAATGCAATTCAAGGACTTCGACACCAAGTTCGGCGACATCATGACACATTTCAAACAACACCTTCGTGCTCTGGAGAATCGGAGAGGCTTGATCAGCAATAGATGGACCAAAGAAACACATTTCGGGGTCAAAGAAATGGGACTCTTCATGGGTAAAAACTCGCAGGACAAGAAGGAAGCGATGGAAGAAAAGCTACGACAGCAAAAGCAAGATGAGGACAACGAAAGAGGTGAAGTATCGTCCTCAATTCTGCAATTGCTCTGTACTGACTACCTGGCAGCGCAAAGACGGAAAGAGTTTCTCGACTGGCTTCCCTTCATTGACTTTGGAGAATTTCACGACAACGCATTTGAGAGAAGTGTTGATGGTACAGGCGACTGGCTCACCAAGAACAACAACTACAAGGCATGGAGGAACAGTTCATCGTCATCTATGCTGTGGATTCGTGGGAAGCACGGCTCTGGAAAATCCCACTTGGCGTCCTGTATCATCGAAAAGCTATTATCGGAGGCAAAGACTGCTCCGGGCAATGCTGTAGCATTCGTCTATTGTACCACGACACAGTCAAAGACCGAAATGACACTCAATAACCTCTTGGGCTCCCTTCTGAGGCAGATTTGTAGACAGCTTCCACCAAGTCGGGATGTCAAAGACTTGATCTCGAAAGACGATTACAGCAGCAAAGACTCTCCTCGGCGAAGCGATCTCAAGAGTGGCATTCTGAAAGCTATATCGGCATGCTGCGCGAGTTCAATCATAGTCGATGGTCTTGATGAATGCAGCAAACTGAACGACAGCCATTTCAAGGAATTTTGCAATTTCATTGCTAGTCTGGTAGAAAGTTCAGGTACTGTCACAAAGGTCATAGTACTGAGCAGAGCAAATTACGGCGAGATCGACAAGATTATGGAAAATGTCTCCTATATCATAGATGTCGATACGGGCGCTAATCATGACGACATTGAGAAGTTTGTGTCACAGACTGTCTCCGAAATAAATCCAGAGCCCTCGCAAGAAGAACTGGATGATTTTGAAGAAATCAAGAGCAAACTCGTCAACAACGCAGCAGGAATGTTCTTGTATGTTCGTTTGAAGATGCGAGATTTTGGAGATCTTGGAAATGCCGAAGACATCAGAGCTTCTTTGGAAGACACCGTGGAAGACTTAAACGATTTGTACGGACATGCCATCAACTCAATACTTGAGAAGCGTCCGCCCTTCAGAGAAAGAGCCCTGATGGCACTCCTATGGATCACAAACTCTCGCCGGCCATTGTCGAAGATGGAGTTACTCGAAGCTTTATCGCTCAAGCTTAAGCGAAATGGCATCAAAAGCAGCCAGAGGTTAAAGAGCGACTACCAAATCTGCAGACAATGTGAGGATCTCATTAATGAGACTGGGGGCTTTTACTACCTCATTCATGGATCACTCGAAGATTACCTATCCTCCAATTCTGCCGGCTTATCTGACTACGTTGCACTACAATCCCAGGCTCACGATATCATAGCCGAGGCTTGCCTCAGCTATCTCAACTTTGACGACTTCCAGAAAACTCGTACGCTGGTACCAAGCGAAGTCGTTAGGTTGCAACAACAATATCCTCTGTTGCACTACACCTCGTCTCAGTGGGGGGGCCATTACAAACAGGCCACTTTGCTCGGAAGCAGAGGATCTGAAATCAGAAGGCTTTCTTTGGAGCTTTTGTCGGTAGAAAACCTTGTCCATTTATGTCTCAAGGTTATCAATTCTCATGAACTTGCTCCGGAATATCTGTTCCCTGTCGAGAACTACTTTGACCGAAAGCCAACCGCAGTTCATCTCATCTGCGCACTCGACCTGAGAAGTCTGGCTGGATCGATACCGCGCTGTGTAGATCTCATTGATCATTTCGATCATATAGGATGGGCTCCAATCCAATATGCTCTGCACTTCCACAATAAAGATATGTGTATTTGGATATTGGACACTATTCAAGAGAGACAGGACAAGCAAGCGCTGATCGACCAGCTTGTTAGCGACAGATACTGTTTGCTCCATCATGTCGTACATCGAGATTGGGACGATGCATTGCGGCAGTTGCTTTCCTTCAACTGCGATCCAGATGTTCGGGACCGCCACGGCGAAACACCTTTGCATTGCGCAATACAGTCTGGCTGCCATCGTTCTTTTGAGATGCTGCTTGCGGCGGGTGCAGATATGACCATCGAATCAAACAATGGCACAACACCCCTGATCGAAGCCGTTGATAGCGGTGAGCTGAAGTTTGTCAAAGAAATACTCGACAGAATCACAGCAAGAGATTCCGGTAGAGCCTCTCCTCCCAACTGGAAGATTCAACCCGAAAACGTGCAGAGGCTTGAGCTTATCGACCACAGTCGGCACAATGGCGAAAATGCCTTTTTGCTCAGCTGCGCTCTGGGACCTGGCTCCATGGTGGAATTGCTCCTCCAACACGGCGCAAATATCAAGGCTTTGAACGCTGACCCTGGAGGCGAAACCGGGCTGCACCTGGCCTGCACCCAAGGCCACAGGGATGTCGTTGACGTTTTGCTCTCTAGATGCGAGGCACCTGAACTAGTGAACGCAGAAGATTTCGAAGGCTTAACGCCCTTACACAAGACCATCTTCTGTCAAGATCTTGTAATTGCAATCAAACTCCTGAGACATGGAGCACAGCCCAATCACGTCTTCAAGAACAGATGCACACCTTTGATGTTATCGATTCTAGGAGGGGCATACGAAATCGCCGAAGCCCTTATTGTCGACTACAAAGTGGATGCCCTTTCACAAACTCCCTACCACACCCCGCTACACTGGGCAGCCGATGTTGGATGGTCGCAGATTCTCAAAATCATCCCGAATTTGTCCATTTGGTACCAAAATCAGCACAGGAAACATACACCTCTCCATCAGGCAGCTATGCAAAACCAGATTGAATTCATGAAAGAGTTCATAGATCTGACTTCCACGACGTGCTTATTTCCCCTCGACGAGTCTGGCAGAACACCGCTTCACACGGCTGCTAGAGGCGGTGCCATAGATGCTGTTGAATTGCTATTGAAGACCGAGCCTACCTCATTGCATCTCAGAGACGACAATCAATTTCTCCCACTACATTTCTCTGCTTATGAAGGACATCTTTCTTGCACGAAACTCTTGGTTGTAGCAGGCAATATCAACGAGCGCGACATACACGGCTGTACACCCCTCTGGCACGCCTGTAAAAGCGGACATGAAGACATCGTTCAGCATCTTCTTGAACAGAATGCTGACATGAATCTGTGCCATGTGGAGGGAGATTCACCTGTCGGTATCGCAATTTCAAAGTGCCACGAACGGATCGCGATCTGCCTTCTGGATCGAGGGGCTGAATGCCAGTCGCGGGGATTCAAAGGCAATACGCTACTCCATAATGCCGCTATCACGGGAAGCCAAGCCATTATTGAGCACCTGCTCAAGGTGGGATGCGATCCGTTGACTGTGGACGATGATGGGGAGACTCCATTGATGAGGGCGGTCTTCGGCGGTTGGCGTGAAGCTGTCTCTTTATTGCTTTCAGCAGCCCCAGAAGCTGCCCAGATTTGTGGTCGCCAAGGACAAAGCTGCGTACATATCGCCGCCGGTCTACAATCACCACAAATATTAGAGATGCTGCTTGTCAAAAGTTGTGAGCAACAACAATTAGCAGACATATTCGGATTGCACGCGATGTGTCATGCCGCGGAACGAGGAGCTGCTGCAATGATCGATGTTTTATCCGAGTTCGGGGTTCCACCCCGCGGCGTTGCGGGCAGTTCCTACAACCCACTGTGGTTGGCAGCGGCTAACGGTTGCTCCCAGTTCCTCCGAGAGCTTCTCAATCACGGGATCAATCTTGAAGAGGATCTAAGAAGTTGCTGTCGTCTTCGTGGCGCAGATGCGCTTAATATGGCCGCTATGAATGGACACATGGAGGCGACTTACGTCCTACTACAACTCAGCGCAGATCCAACAACAACAAATCGTTTGGGCCTATCCGCCATTGACTATGCTTCCAGCTTCACGTTCCTTAAGCCGCTTTTCATGGCCTGGCTCCCGACGTCCCGCTCTTTGTCTAGTAAAACCCAGCTGCAAGCTCTGCGGACGGCTATCATTGAAGATTGCAGTGGGCTAACAGATATAGTTGTGAAGGACTTCACAGAGAAACGTTATTCGAAGCTCCTGCGGAATTTGCGAGAAAACCTTATTCTTTTGAACTCAGAGACAAGTCGACAACAGTTGCAACTCCTTGTTGCCTTACAGCTTCAGGCCACTCCCAGTTTGTTTCGTTGCTTTTACGGCTGTGCCTGGCGGCCCAAAGAGAACCCTGGCAGCGCTTCCTTTCTATACTACGGGAAATTGGATTGCTCCATACTTTGCAATCAATGCCATCAAGACCACATCCGTCATGTAGAGAGTGGCCAAACTCCCTTGCTCGTATTTTTCCTCAATGAGTTGGAGAGGACTACTCTACCTGTACTAGAAGTGCTAGAAACCTCGTGGAGTAAAAAGCCTGACACGCTTTGGATATGTCTAAATTCCTTGGAGCTTATCGCCGATTGGCTCAAAGCAATCACAGAAGCATATCCGAGGTGTATTGAGAGAAGTAGGTTTTCCGCACGATTTTCTTCCCTTGACTTCCTTGGCTGGAGTTTGGCCGAAATCCTTCAGCGAGTCCAAGTGTCTGAGCTATTTCGATATGGAACAAGAGACTGTTCGGAATTTGATGTGAGAAAGCGACAAGTCTTTAACAGCAAACTCAAGAGGGACTTGATCAGGCTTATTCCATTCACAAGCCCATACCTCGAAGTTACCCATTTCTATGATCTAGGGAACAACTACATCGAATTCCCCGACACGAGTGCCTCGCCATCCCAAATACACCGTTATTTTGATGAGCAAGGTAGTTTACACAAGAATATCTTCAAAGAAATATCGGATCATTATGCAGGCTTAGACTTCAGCAGCGTATACAGGGCCACGGATTTCGATTCAATAGCTTCTCCTCCAAATGAGCCAAACTCGTCAGCTGAGCCGCCAGACCAAGAATTCGAATTAGATGAGTCATTTGAAGCAGAGTTCGAATCTTACGAGCCGTTTGAAGTAGAGTTCGATGCGATGCGTAGGGTACTAGGGCGCGACATCACGAGCCTCCTAGCAATCTTCCTTCCATCTGTTGTAAGGGAATCTATTCTTTACGACAGTGCTGAAGAACTCCTGAGGAAACTGTCCTTAGTCTACTTAAAGCGACAAAGATTGCGTGAAGGAAGCGTGGAATTCAAAAAGACAAGCAATCAGATCGAGGCATACGAGCTTTCATGGCGGCTTGTTCATGCAATCCTGAACATTGAATATACACAGCCGGTTTGGGACTTCTGTCACGAAAGATTCTTTGGTAAGAATGTGGAGTTACAGGATCCAGGAAGCAGTAAACAGACTGGAACAGCCAAGCAATCTCTGGAGCAGAAAGCCGGGTAGTTTCTAGGGATGGCTTCCACATATCTTGATTCTGAGCTGGGCTGAGATCTGATACTGATTCTACACGTCATACATACCGTTCTACACATAAGTTACCGCTTTCTCTTGGAAGTTTATTATCATGACGAAATGGCATTTATGTTCGGAGCTATACGTCTTTAGGTGATAACAGATGCGCATAGACCAATGTTTAACTCATTCTACTTCATAGAAGTCAAATACAGACATTATTGAGGAGGGGCAATCTGAATTATCCCTAAATTTCCACTAGCTTCGCCATGGCTGAGGATCGTCAGGAAGATGAAGGCAGCACGTTCAACATATATAATTATCTTGGGTATCTAAACAGACTAATCTACTCCAACTTTTCACAGGCAGATTTTCTTTTCATGATAGCACGTGATTTGCAGTTCAACCATCTTCAACCTTAGTCCGCGATAACTTCGCACTCTACCTCTCAAGCTTCCTAAGCCGCACGTAGTTCTTGATTGGTTTATGAGTCACAACATCTTTGCCCTCATATCCGGACAGGGCCTCTGGACACTTGAGTATCTCAAAATCCCACACGATCAAACTGATGAGGATCCGCAGCTCCACGTACGCAAGCCTCCTCCCAAAGCAACTGCGTCTGCCTTGACCGAATGCAATTTGAGGTCCAGCTGTAGAGTCAAACTCCAGCGTACTTGCCTCAACTGTTGACACCACGTGGACGTGTTTCTTCTCTGATGGGCTTGTGGGAGTAAGCCACCGCTCAGGCTTGAAGTCGGCAATGTCCGCAGGATCCCATTCCGGTACTCTTCCTCTATTCTTCACCGCAATTCGGCATGTCTCGTTCCGCTTTGTCTCGTCAATTTCGTATGCTGGTTTCCGAAGACTAGCCCCTTGTGTGAGACAGAAGATTTGGGTGCCTTTGGGGATGGGGTACCCAAGCAGGGCGGTATCGCAAAGAGCTTCTCGCTCTACCAATGGTGCAGTACCGGCACAACGAAGAATCTCTTCCATCGTGGCGTCAAGGTAGGGAACTTTGATCTGCATGATCTCTTCTACCGATGGTGTTCTGGCATCTCTTGATGCTTCCTTATATCCTGACTTCATACAGGTGCGAAGTCTCGACTGGATCGTCGGGTGGTCTGCTAGCAACTTGAGTCCCCACAGCACCGTAGTGCTAGTTGTATCGTGGCCTCCGGTAAGGATTCCGAATAACTAGTTGTCAAGGTCAGCGCTATTTTTAAAGATCCTGAACAGTGAATATCTACCTCGTCTCTCATTGTAGGCGAAAGGAAGTCAGGCACCCTCCCGTCATCTTGAGCGATCTTTCTTTCTCTTTGCACCATCAGGTCCACTGCCGACCGCATCCATGTGTCGTTGTCGCTGTTTGCCAGCTGCCTAGACGTAGCCTTGTTTAGTTCTCCAACAATGAACTCGTTCTTAAGCCTCATCGTCCGGCTAACCGGCGGAAACTTTTCTATAATCTTCCACTTGAGGACGGGCCAGGGCGAGCCATGTAACCGTTCAATGGCAATGGTGACATCAAGGATGGTGGATAGAACCTCGTCGCATTCCACTGAAGGAAACTCGATTGGATCGTCGATGGTTCCGGAGGTTCTCAGCTCGTTCAATTGGGTACTATTGAGACCTCGAATAAGATCTGCCACAGGTTTTGTAGCGTTGTGTGAGAAGTCGCCGCCAAACGAAAAGGCTGTAACGGCATCCAAAGCTGCGTAGAAGATATCTCCGGACACGTCAAATGGTCTACCGTCAGCTATGCGCGTCTTGTGTCGCCAAAGGTCGATTAGATTCGCCACGTTCGAGTAGATAGCAGGTGCCGCAACGTCTCGTAAAAAAGGGGGCGACATGAGATCCTGCAATAATCGTCGGTGCGCTTTCCACTCGTCCCCGAGTTCCAGAGTAATTTGGTGGTTCGGTGTAGGTCCTTTGAAAATGTTCTTGATGATTCGTCCGCGATCGAATTCCTTCCGCCGCATGCAGAGATCCTGCATCTCGCGGAAGTCACTCAGTATCACCACGGGTGGCGACATGGGACGAAGGAACATCTGGCATACTGGCGAGTCGTGCTGGTCCGCCTGACGTTGCAACCAAGTAGCTAGGTCGCCCGTCTTCAAAACCTCGCTGGCCAGGTCTGGTAAGTCACCGAGGATGCGGCCGAGGGCTTTTGGGTTATACGGGATGCCGGGGATAGGCTTGGGCAGGGCTTTCCGATACAGCCTGTACAAAAGGTAAACGGAAAGTATGCCCGAGAACAGTAGGAAGCCATAGGCTTTGCGTGGAGATATCGTCTCCCTCATGAGATGAGCCGTGTCAGACGAAGTTACGAGAGGCATTGTGACTATGGTTCTTCCAGAAGAATGGCTGCACGAACGCCAAAGTGCCAAACCGGCGTGGGAAGAACCGACAGTTTATACGTGATGTCGCGAAAGTCAGTCTGTCACAGATGGTGATGCCCAAAAGGGCAAACTGTAGTCATTCGGGTTTGAGGACTCGAACTCCTTATGGAGACTCCCGAAGGAACCCAATTTGTCGGGTCTGGGAGGTACCGCAAGCGGCATTCGCTGTGGTGATGGAAAGTCGGTAACTAGAAGCGGATCCCCACGCGCCATGAAAGCTTCCCACCATTGTGCTACGACGTGGATTCCTAAAAAGGTAACTAGCTCATTGCGAGCAGTCTAAGCCGTCAGCTCTATGGGGTGACACTCAGACCACCACCACCACCACCACCACCACTTAATTACTGGAAGTTGAGGGCAATCGACGAATCTGTAGCAACATGATTCATAAGACTCGAGAGTACGGCCAGCACAAGCCTCGTTACACGTGTGCAGCGACAAGAATACGAAAGACAGAGATCGATAATCACTAAATGGAAGGTTGTCTGCACAAGGTTTAGCTATAGTTGGTCCCGATGACCATATGTACTAATATGACCTGATGAATGATTGGGGCAATGATTACATTGGCGATTATGAAGATTGTATGTAAGATGCTTAGAATCGCCGCTCAAAAAGGTTGAGCTGTTCAAATGCTAAAGTGCCAAGCATGTGGCGAGCGATTGATCTGCTTGTAATTGCACGTTCACTCCAGAGTCCCACGTACAATTGGGCACCTGAACGCAGGTCAGTTGACGGATGCACG